GGGTAGAGAGAGAAGGAGAGAGAATCCCAAGCAGACTCTGAGCTGACAGCACGGAGCCCAACTTGGGGCTCAATCTCACAAACTATAAGATCATGACCTGACCTGAAATCAAGAGTCAGGTCCTTAACCAACTGAGCCACCCAGGTGCCCCAATATTTCTTATTTCATTACTGACATTGGTGATTTGTTTCTTGTTTTTATCTTTGCCAGTCTGTTGACTAATAGCTCAGTCAACAAAGCTTATCAATTGTATTGATTTTTTCATATACCTGTGTTGTATTTTATTGATTTTTTCCTGTGTTTTTTAAAAGTTAGTTTTTAATTTCATTGATGACTGCTCTTTATTATTTTCTTTTCTCTCCTTGCTTTGAGTCTGTGTTGTTCTTCTTTTTCTAGTTTCTTGAGGTGGGAATTTAGATTATTGATTTAACAATTTTCCCCTTTCCTTTTTTTTAATTGATATATGCTTGACGTAAAACATTATATTAGTTTCAGGTATATAACATAACGTGATGTTTGTATATGTTGTGAAATGATCACCACAATATTTATTACTGTACATAGTTACAGTTTTGTGTTTGTGTGATGAAAACTTTTAAGATTTACTCATAGTAACTTTCAGTATACATTACAGTATTACTAACTGTAGCCACCATGTGTTACTAACCTTATAGCCCCATGGCAAATTTATCTTATAACTGAAAGTTTACCGTTTGACTGCCTTCATTCATTGTGCCCACTACCCATTCCCCACCTCTGGTAACTATGAATCTGTTCTAAGTATCTGTGACTTCAGGTTTTTTTGTTTTGAGATTCACATATAAATGAGATCATATGGTAATTGTTCTTCTCTTTCTGACTTATTTCTCTTAGCATAATATCCTCAAGATCCATCCATGCTGTGGAAATGGCAAGACTCCTTTTGTTATGGCCGAATAATATCCCATTGTGTATATATACCACATTTTCTTTATCCATTCATCCACTGGTGGACACTTAGGTTCCTTCCATGTCTTGACTATTATAAATAATGCTTTAGTAAACATGGAAGGGTGCATATATCTTTTTAAGTTTGTTTTCATTTCCTTTGGATAAATACCCAGACTTGGAATTGCTGGATCATATGATAGTTCTAGTTTAAATTTTTAAATTAAAATTTAGTTTTTACTTAAAGCTTTTAACTTAAAAATGGAACCTCCATACTGTTTTCTATAGTGGTTGCACCAATTTACATTTTTACCTGCAGTGCACAAGGGTTCTCTTTTTCCACATCCTCATCAGTACTTGTTATTTCTTATGTTTTGTTTTGTTTTTTGATAATAGTCATTCTAACAGGTGTAAGGTATCTCATTATGGTTTTGATATACATTTCCCAGATGATTAGTGATATTGAGCACCTTCTGGCCTTCTATATGTCTTTGGAATAATGTCTATTCAAATCCTCTGCCCATTTTTTAAATTGGATTGTTTCCCCTTTTCTAATGTAAACATTTAGTGCTATACACTTCCCTTTCTGCATTGCTTTATCTGTATCCCACAGATTTTGATATATTTTCATTTTCTTTCAGTTCAGTGTTTTTTCTAAATTTCTTTTGAGAATTCCTCTGTGATTTATAGGTTATTTAGAAATGTGTTACTTCATTTCCAAATATTTTGTTGCTTTCCAGATAGCTTTTGTTACTATTTTGTAATGTAATTCCTTTGCCCATTTTTCTTTTGTCTTTATTATTGATTTTTAGTTTGATTCCATTATGGTCAGAGATGCTATGTGTTATTTTAATTCTTTTAAATTTGTTGAAGTTTGTTTCACAGTCTAGGTTATGGTCTGTCTTGGTCCTGGTTCTGTGGGTGTTTGAAAAGAATGTGTTGGAATATTCTATAAATATCAATTAGATCCTATTGTTTGTTTCTTATATATCACTGATTATTTTCTGTCTACTGTTTCTATAAATTGCTGAGTGTGGGTATTCAGGTCTTTATAATCCTTTTTTAAAACATTCATGAGTTTAGGTAGAAATAGCCTACCTTCAATTATGCATTTACAGATGAATTTTTTTTTTTAATATGGAGCAATGTTTTCTTTAAATTTTTTTAATGTTTATTTATCTTTGAGAGAGAAACAGAATGTGAATGGGGGAGGAGCAGAGAGAGAGGGAGACAGAGAAGCTGAAGCAGGCTCCAGGCTTTGAACCTGTCAGCACAGAGCCTGATGTGGGGCTCAAATCCACAAACTGTGAGATCGTGACCTGAGCCAAAGTCAGATGCTTAACCGACTGAGCCACCCAGGCACCCCTGGAGGATCATGTTTTTAAAAAACATTTTATTATATAAAAAAAAAAAAAGTAAACGTATACAAAAGTCAAGAGAATAGTATCAGGAACCCTTGTATATCTTCTGCCTACCACCTAGCTTTATTAGTCATCAATATTCTGACATTTTAATTCCATCTAAAACCACCCTCCCACTCCCTCAGCTGCTGGATTATTTTAAAGCAAATCCCGGGTGCCTGGGTGGCTCAGTCGGTTAAGTGTCCGACTTCGGCTCAGGTCATAATCTCACTGTTCATGGGTTGGAGCCCCGTGTCGGGCTCTGTGCTGACAGCTAGCTCAGAGCCTGGAGCCTGTTTCAGATTCTGTGTCTCCCTTTCTCTCTGACCCTCCCCTGCTCACACTGTCTCTCTCACTCTCTCTCTCAGAAATAAATAAAACATTAAAAAAAAATTTTATAAAGCAAATCCCAACACCGTATCTTATCTGTAAATTCTTTGATGTGTATCTTTAAGAGATGAGAATTCTTTTTTTCTTTCTTTTTGTTTAACATAACCACTAAACCATTATCACATCTAAAACAACAGTAATTCCTAGATATCATCTAATACTTGTATTGTTTGAATTTTTTAAAACATGTCTTAAATATCTTTTTAATGTTGGTTTGTTTAATGAAGGACCAAACAAGGTCTACAAGTTGCATTTGGTTAATATGACTCTGAAGTTTCTTTTTATAAAAAAAAGCTTCCCTTCTATTAGTTTTTCTTTTTTTTTTTTTTTTTAAAGTTTATTTATTTTGGGAGAGAGAGAGAGAGACAGAGAATCCCAAGAAAGCTTTGTGCTGTCAATGCAGAGCCCAATGTGGGGCTCAAGCCCAGGAACTGCAGTATCATTTACTGAGCCAAAATCAAGAGTTGGACACTTAACCAACTGAGCCACCCAAGCGCCCTTATAATTTATTTTTTGAAGAAATGGGTCATTTGCTGCCTTCTGGATTTGGCTGATGTGTCAGTCTTAATATTGTGCAATATGTTTCTCTCACCTTCACTTTGTGAATGATTTGTTAGATCTAGAGGCTTAATGAGATTCAGGTTGGATTCTTCTTTTTCTTTGTTAAGAATACTTGATGTGATAATGAAATCAGTTACAATATCATGTCAGGAGGCACATAATATTTGGTTATCTCTCTTTTTGTGATATTAAAATTGATCATTGAATGTAGATGTTATTAGCTGGTCCATCCATTGTAAATTTCTCTTCAGCCTTTTACCTGAAACAGCTAAGCAACCATTAGTGATTACTGAATAAATTCATTATTTCATTAGGAATTACAAAATTATGATATTCTATTTCTATCCTAACCTCTTCATTTATTTGCTAGAATTGTTCTGTAAGAAACTTTTCTTCATCATTTAATTGGTTAGTTATCCTGCGATAGGGATCTTCTATGGAAAAAATTCACATAAATCTGATTATCTTAATTACCTTTACTAAAAGTAAAAAAAAAAAAAAATCCTTACTCGTTTTATGATCAAACTGTTTTTTCCATAACTACCTTCTGATGTGTATGCAGACTTCTCTCCATTATATAGAGCTATATGATGTTCCCTAAACTCATCACGTATTTTACTTTCTCCTCACCTTTGCTTCTGTCTTCTCTGGGAAGTAACCTTCCTTACCCCTCATTCTGTATTATACTTATCATCTTGAAACTTAAATTCAACTAATAAAAATTTACTGCCCCAGGGGAGGGGAAGGGGGGTGATGGGCACGGAGGAGGGCATTTGTGGGGCTGAGCACTGGGTGTTATATGGAAACCAACTTGACAATAAACTATTTTTAAGAAATGAATAAATAAAGGCCTGTTTTGATTAAAAAAAAATTACTGCCCCATGTTGAATATACTTTTTCCTTTTTTGGGTCCTCAGTGTGTTCCACATAAGAGATTTACTTTTTGACACTTTAGTGAACTTGTGTCTGTTTTTTCCCTTCTTTTAAATCTTAAGTCTTTTAATTTGCTAGAAGATTAGGAACATAATCCATTTCTTTGTTCTCATGACTAGTGTAATGGCTGGTCCTAAACTGTATCACTGTATCATCTAAGAGAGAGCCTATTTCATTCTTCAGTTTTAAAAAACAAGTAATTGACTAACTGTAGTATAGAACAAACAGCAGAAATTCTTTATTGGATTTCTTTCTCCTGCAAAATGATTGTGTAAAACTAGATATTTAAATGCACCCTGAATGAAATACCATTTTTTAAAAAAGTTCCTGTATTACAGATATATGCATTTATCAGAACTTCAAATGTACATTGTGGATTTGTATATTTCATTGTGTGAAAATTTTACCTTAAAAAAGGTAAATGTTATATTCTAGTTAATGATTTGCATTCTAACATATTTAGGATGAAGTGGTACTGGCATCTACACTTTACTCTGAACTGCATAAAAAAAAGATGGATTGATGATAAAAGGATGGATAAATGTATGATAAAACAAATAGAGCAAAATGTTAATGATGGATCCTAAGTGGTTAGGAAACAAGTTTTCACTCTACAAATTCTTTTAAATTTTTTGTATGTTCAAAATTTTCCATAATAAAATGTTAGGGAGATGGGAGGTGGGTTTTAAAAAGAGGAAATGAATTAATAACAACAAAACCCATCATTCCATATTCCTAGTCTCTCCATCCTCCAAACAACTCACATTGAACAGGAATGTGCTCTTACAGGGATCGGTGTCCTTCAGGGATGTGGCTGTAGATTTCAGTAGAGAGGAGTGGCAGCATCTAGACGTTGCTCAAAGAAACTTGTACCGGGATGTGATGCTGGAGACCTACAGTCACCTGCTTTCAGTAGGTAAGCACAGTTACTCGGGTCCACAGTGAGAGTGTTTCCTTTCTCAGTTGCTGAATGCTGTGAGACATCTGAAGTATGTGATGTTTTGACTTTGATTTGTCTAGGGTTCTTTATCCCCTTAGGCATTCTGAAAAATACTCTCTTCCCAGAAATACATGGTTATGTTCCTGAAGAACAAAACTTCATTGAACAAGACTGTTGCTTGCATTTTGAAACACAATTAGCCGGATCCAGCCCTTTATCATTTCTCTTAAACAGGGTATGACGTTCCCCAGCCAGAAGTTTTTATGTTGGAGCAAGGAAAGGAGCCATGGGTATTGAAGGGTGAGAGCCCACATCAGAGCTGTTCAGGTGAGTGAGCATGACCCATACAGAAGGGAGAAAATAAGCACATCTCAGCTGTCTTGAAAAAGACTGGCATCTTTGAAATGCTATTAAGATGACTCTTTTGGAAGGCTCTATTTTTTTTTTTTTTTTTTTTGTATTGCTTGAGGACCCTTGACGTTGGCCTCTCAAATAACTAAATGCTTTCATCATTTCTAACCATCTTCTTTGGTGTTTTGGAGTCTGGATTACATGCCAATCCAGATTTATTTTTTTATTTTAAAAGGATTTTTAAATCTTTTATTAAGGATTTTTTTTTTCTTTCTGTCTTTCCCATTGTCCATGATTCTTTATACCTTCAGGCATTCAAGGATCTGCTTTCTTTCAAACTTATATATGTCACATTCCCATTCCTGGTAGTCCTCTATAATTTCTTTTTTTCCACTATGGGATGCTTCAGAATATTATCTACATCCAGGCTCTCTTCCTATTTTCTCCATGGGCACTGACATAAGGTTTCTTATATCCCTGTTCCCCATGGTTTTTACCCAACTGATGATGTGGGGTTAATTGTCACTTAACCTTTAGAAGTACTTTTCTGATATTTCCTTCCAGTATTGGTTGATGTCACATTAACTGGGATTTCTGCCTCATTGGCTGTATTTGTGATTGCTTTATTTCTATACTTCACATGATGAAGTTTCAGTTTAATTGTGGCTCTCATTCAGGACACACTGTTGTTATCAGTCTGGGTAAAGATTCTCTATGACAGTAGTTGGCCCTTTTATGCGGTTTCACTTTCTGTGGTTTTGGTTACCCATAGTCAACCATGATCTGAAAATATTAAATGGAAAATTCCAAAAATAAACAATTTATAAGTTTTAAATTGTGTGCCTTTCTGAATAACATTGTGAAATCTTATGCTGCCCCACTCCATCCTGCCCAGGAGTTGAATCATTCCTTTGTCCAGCATATCCTCACTGTATATACTACCTGACTACTAGTCACTTAGTAGCTATTTCAGTTATCAGATTGACTATCGTGATATTGCAGTGCTTCTATAACCCTTATTTACTTAACAGTAGCTCCAGAGCACAAGAGTAGTGATAGTGGTAGTTGCGGTATGTCAAAGAGAAGCCATAAAGTGCTTCCTTTAAGTGAAAAGCTAAAATGTTCTTCACTGAATAAGAAAAAAAAAATTAGGTTTGGTACTATCTGAGGATACAGACATCCACTGAGTGTCTTGGAACATGTCCCCTTCAGATAAGGGAAGGGACTCCTGTATTTTATTTTTTTATTTATTCCCATTTCTTTCTTTTCCCCACACCCACTCACTTCTCACCATAGGCAATTGTTTTATGTGATGGAAACATTTTTTAATTCTTGCATATTCATTCTTTTAAGATTTAAAGTGACTTAGGGTATGTACTATTATATAAATGTTACTGTGCTATATATATTCTGGTTTTTGCCTTACTTTTTCCACTTCTGTCCATGGTGGATTATGTTCATAAAGGTTATTTCCTCTAACTATTTGATTGTATCCCAGAACGTTTCCTATCACCACTGTTGCCAGCATTCTCAAATGAGTTACTCTCACCCTTTTCTCTCCCTTCACCTTGGATGATCCATATGTCCCTCCCCTCTAGCTTCTGCTAGCTGCTCTTTCAGCTAAAACATCATTCTTCTTTGTAAAGGAGAGTTTAGGTTGCAAACTTCACAGCAGAGAATTCGTGAAAAAGCTTCTTTTCTACAGTGAGAAGGAAGGTGATGCTACAAGTGATATTTTGTTGTATTTCATTCTAGAAGAATTGTGGCAGATTGGTGACCAGACAGAAAGCTATCAGCAAAGAGAAAATAAATCTTTAAGAGATGTTGCTTTCATCAAGAAAATACTGACTACAAAGAAAGATTATGAATATAAGGACATTAGAAAAATAATTCATGTGAGCCAAAACATTCTTTCCCCCAAAAGAACCCATCAAGGTGATTCCTTTGGAAATGCTTTGAAGCATAATTTAGATTTACACAGTCATTATAGAAACAGTGCATCAAAGAACATGAATAAGATTACTGAATATGGTAAAATCTCTTCCTCTCCTGACCCTGAGTGTTCTCCAACAGGAGAGAAGTTATGGGACCATAATCAATGTGGAAAAATCCTCAGCTATAAACAAGCACCCTCTCAACATCAGAAAATTCATACTGGGGAAAAATCTTATGAATGTGCTGAATTTGGAAAGATCTTCACCCAGAGGTCACAGCTCAGGGTACATCTGAAAGTTCATACAGGAGAAAAACTCTATGTGTGCATCGACTGTGGGAAGGCTTTTGTAAAGAAGCCAGAATTCATTACACATCAGAGAACCCATACTAGAGAGAAGCCCTATAAGTGCAGTGAATGTGGAAAAGCTTTTTTCCAAGTATCTTCTCTCTTAAGGCATCAGAGAATTCATACTGGAGAAAAACTTTATGAATGTAGTGAATGTGGAAAAGGCTTCTCTTATAACTCCGATCTCAGTATACACCAGAAAATTCATACTGGAGAGAGACACCATGAATGTAGTGATTGTGGCAAAGCATTTACACAAAAGTCCACACTCAAGATGCATCAGAAGATTCACACAGGTGAGAGATCCTATATATGTATTGAATGTGGACAGGCCTTCATCCAGAAGACACACTTGATTGCACACCGTAGAATTCATACTGGAGAAAAACCATATGAATGCAATAACTGTGGGAAGTCCTTCATTTCAAAGTCACAGCTACAGGTACATCAAAGAATTCACACAAGAATGAAACCCTTTATATATGCTGAATATGGGAAGATCTTCAACAATAGTTCCAACCTCATTACACATAAGAAGGTTCAAATTAGAGAGAAATCTTCCATATGTACTGAATGTGGTAAGGCTTTTACGTACAGGTCAGAACTGATTATACATCAGAGAATTCACACTGGTGAAAAACCTTATGAATGCAGTGATTGTGGAAAAGCCTTTACTCAGAAGTCAGCACTCACAGTGCATCAGAGAATTCATACGGGAGAAAAATCTTACATATGCATGAAATGTGGACTAGCCTTTATCCAGAAGGCTCACTTGATTGCACATCAAATAATTCATACTGGAGAGAAACCTTATAAATGTGGCCACTGTGGGAAATCCTTTACCTCCAAGTCACAACTCCATGTACATAAACGAATTCACACAGGAGAGAAGCCTTATATGTGCGCTAAATGTGGAAAGGCATTCACCAACAGGTCAAATCTCATTACACATCAGAAAACTCATACAGGGGAGAAATCCTATATATGTCCTAAATGTGGAAAGGCCTTTACACAAAGATCAGACTTGATTACACACCAGAGAATTCATACTGGAGAGAAACCTTATGAATGTGGTACCTGTGGAAAAGCCTTTACCCAAAAATCACACCTCAATATACACCAGAAAATTCATACTGGAGAAAGACAGTATGAATGCCATGAATGTGGGAAAGCCTTCAACCAGAAATCAATACTCATTGTGCATCAGAAAATTCATACAGGGGAGAAACCTTATGTATGTGGTGAGTGTGGTAGAGCTTTCATCCGCAAGTCAAACTTCATTACACATCAGAGAATTCATACTGGAGAGAAACCTTATGAATGCAGTGATTGTGGGAAATCCTTCACCTCCAAATCTCAGCTCCTGGTGCATCAACCAATCCACACCGGAGAAAAACCGTATGTGTGTGCTGTGTGTGGGAAAGCCTTTAGTGGCAGGTCAAATCTCAGTAAGCATCAGAAAACCCATACTGGAGAAAAGCCCTACATCTGTTCTGAATGTGGGAAGACCTTCAGACAGAAGTCAGAGTTGATAATACATCATAGAATCCACACTGGAGAGAAACCTTATGAATGCAGTGACTGTGGCAAATCTTTCACTAAGAAGTCACAACTCCAAGTGCATCAGCGAATTCACACAGGAGAAAAGCCTTATGTATGCGCTGAGTGTGGGAAGGCTTTCACAGACAGGTCAAATTTGAATAAGCATCAGACAACACACACTGGAGACAAACCCTATAAGTGTATAGTCTGTGGGAAAGGCTTCGTCCAGAAATCTGTGCTCAGTGTCCATCAGAGTATTCACACTTGAGAAGAACAGTGTGAGAAAACCTCAGATCAGGTTTGATTGTATATCGTTGAATTTGTTAGCAGAAAAATATGCATATTATCCTAAGTAGAAATACCCCATCAAAGTGTCAAACATCACCGTACAGAAGAGGACCCTGAATGAAGGGGGCCCTTCCCATATTATCACCACCTTCATTAAACCTTGAGGCATTCATACTGGGAAAATTGGTAGATTAGAAGAAGGCTTCTCATGAAAAATATTATGGAACATTATTACCAGCTTCTGCATAGAGAGGTTATATTAAGTCATGTTCATGATAATCCTGTTTACTGTGGAATAGGTAGAGTGTCAACAGGTTGAATGGTAGAACAACATAATATATATGATAGTGACAGATCCTAAATTCTGTGAGATGTTTGCTGCAGAACACATTGTCTAACAGTTTTGGGTGTTTTCTTATTCTTCTGTTGAATCTAACATGGTTGTGTGTGTCCAGTTCCCCATTGAGTATTTCCATCAAGAAAGAGATAACTCAGTAGAAAATTTCTTTATGTATACAGACACAAACCTCAGAATGTCTGTTGACCCATTACCCTCTAGCATCATGACTTGTAACCTCTGCCCCTTATCATCTACCACTAAAGTGTATTTGACCCTCATGAGTCCCTAGCGCATTGTCTTCTGACACTCACATAATTGCTTTAGTGCTAAACACTAATGTCTGCTGGGTGCCATTTTCTCATTTAGCTCTAAACATAGTGTTTTGTGAACCTCCACTACTCTCAGGAAAGCTTCTGAAGTAAGAATTTTCAGGTTATTTTGGTCAAGTTTTCATCTCCATCTCCCTTTTGCTGTCATAGTTCTTCCAGCTCATTTGCCTGCCTTAATGACCTGACTTTTATAATAACAAATTAGAAACATATTAAAAACAAACCTCAGCATTTGTTCATGTCTTCTCTGTGTCCATCTTTATGCCATGGACTCCACAAACACCTTCTCCCCATTTGCCTCAAACATATTAGTTCAGGTCCCGCCACAGGGCCTTTGCATCTACAGCACTCTCTCTTTGAAGAACAAGATTCTTCATATCTGTGTGGTTAGCTCCTTCGTGTCTTCCAACAGCACCTCTTCACAGAGGCTTTCCCTGTCTTTTCCTGCCTTGTTTAAAATATTGACTCTCTCCCCTCTATCCTTTATTTTTCGTCATAGCACTTACTGCCATGATGCCCTGTATATTTTACTTATTTGTCTATGGCTCTTATGCTTGAATGTTTTTCCATGTTTTGCTCACCGCTGTGAACCTTGACCCGTGTCTGACAATAATAGGCATTCCATGAATTCACACTGGAGTATTGACATTGCTTCTCACAACTTTCCTTTGATCTTTTCTATATTGCAGCATACGATGTTGCAATGGGGAGAACCAACTTGCCTAAAACACTAGGCTTTTTCAGCTCCAGTTTTTACCTGGGCTCTGCCTCCATCCTGGCCCCAAAGCTGAAACATTATCATAAATATTTTGGCCTGATCCTGCCAGTTTAAAGAAGAGAAAACTGAGATTGAGGAAATCCCACATAGATGCTTGGTATTCAGGATTTCCTATGTGATTGTGAAATTCACAGCTCCAAATTCATTGCAGAAGAGCCTGCTCACTTTGCCCCAGCATGCACAGTCGTACCCCACTCCAGACCCTCACCTACAGACCTCGTTCCTAATGTCCTGACAGGCCCAAAGCTCATAGTATGAAGGGACTGAGAGCAAACAGGGCAGACCTTCCTGGGAAGTTAGGTGTCTGACCCAAGACTGGCAGCAGTCGTCTCCCAAATGCAGGCAGAGGGTCTGACTGACACTCAGCTGTTGGGCAGCCAAGTTGGCAAGAGCAGAATGGTTCCTCCAGGTCAGTCCACTGGTAACAATGGGGAATGGGAAGTAGTGGGGTTGTGCAAGGTACTGTTTTTTGCCTTTGGGAACAACAGCATGGTGGTTGAAGATGGGGACAGAACCTTGTCACGGGGCAAGGCTGGGAATTCCCCTGAACTCCCTCATCCAAATTTGGTAGTGTTTAGTGACACATCCCTTCACTCTCATTTTTAGATCAGTATCTGATTCATCATTAGCTCTCTTCATCTCACCTTTTCACAGTATTGGATGATCCACCGTATGCTTTTTTCTATCTTAGAACAAGGTATGGTGGGTGACCCACTGTTAACCCCCTTTACCTCATCCAGTACTGTATCTGGGGCTTCACTAAAGGTCTTGCAACCCGTCATTATGCCTCAGTTTAGGACAGTGTTTGCTGACCCCCTCAAGAGAGTGTCTGAAGACCCCCCCTTCTTACCCTACTGTAGCACAGTATTTGTACACCCATTATCTCTCTTTCACTCAGTACTGTGTGTATCACCCCTCCTTAATTCCAGGAAATAGTGTCTAGAGATCTCATTACCTCCTCCACAACTAACCTCCAGCATAATGTCTGTTACTTCACTTGTGACAAAGCCTAGTAATCTCCATATTCCCCATTTATTCCCACTTTTCACGTAAGTAGTAACTGATGACCACTTCCTACAATCTTCAGAATAGGAAGCTGTGATATACCCCACCTAATCCAACTATCAATAATATCTTCTGATACTTTAACTACATTTCTAGTAGGATGGTTTGTGATCCCCTCCATTATTTGTCCATTGCAACAATGGTGACTAATTATCTCCCATTTCCCCATCTAGCAGTGTTTGTAACTATCCTCAACCCAGCATGTGGTGATCTCAGTACCTTCTCTGAACACTGGTAAGTGCCATTAACCTGCTTTCCTCCCCACCAGTGAGGGTGATGACTGATAATGCACCATAAACTCCACATCACACATCTGCATTTTAAAGCCTCCACTATTTCCCTCTGTTAGTACCTGCATTAATAACTAGCAAAAAGTCTGCTGATGTCCATTACCCTATTAAGAGTATCTGTGAACCCTCGGAGCACCTGGGTGGCTTAGTCGGTTAAGCGTCCGACTTTCCCTTAGGTCATGATCTTGCGGTTCGTGGGTTCGAGCCCCGCATCGGGCTCTGTGCTGACTGCCAGCTCAGAGCCTGGAGCCTGTTTCAGAGTCTGTGACTCCCTCTCTCTCTGCCCCTCCCCTCCTCACGCTGTCTGTCTCTCTCTCTCTCTTCTAGAAATAAAAAAAAATTTTTTAATTAAAAAAAAAATTAAAAAAGAGTATCTGTGAACCCTCCATTAAATCCTGGTAGTATTTGCTTTTCCCCATTGGTCTCCACTAATATAATCCTGATTCTCCATTGTCCATATTTCTTCATGAGGATCCTGTGTGGCTACTGCCAAGTTCTCCAGCATTGCTTCTCCACAACCCCACTGTTTACATGGACAGGAAACCTGGAAGAAGGAGAAGGGATGAGGATAAGGTCCTAGCCTCACAGACTCATCTGGGGAATTAGTGACCCAGAGTGGGCTGGGGAGGATCTGAGGGGCCCAAGAGACCACAAGCTGAGAGTCCCATGATGCAAACAGAATAGAGAAGGCTGTGGATGCAGATTCAAATCCTAGTGATCTGCTGAGGGATTCTGGGCCAGTCCAGCAAACTTACCCCACCTGGGGCTCAGTTACCTCACCTATAAAATGGAATTATGGAGAATGAAGTGACTTAATCAGGGCTGAGTAAGGGAGCAGGGCTAATGGAGATCAATGAGGGTATAGTGTTGTTAATAACATTACTATCTATAAATGGACACAGGCATCTGACCAACATCTGCATGGCTATGCCCAAACCTCACAGAGGGAAACATGTTATTTTTTTGTCAATTAATTTCAGTTATTTCTCTTATATATATATATATATTATGATATTATAGTATTGAGATATTTTTAAAGTCAGATTTATTTAGTATGTAGAATAATATTCATCCTTTTTAGTGTAGAATTCTGGGAATTTTGACAAATGACAATTATGTAATCAACACCACAGTCAAGACAGTGAACATTTCCTTCACTCCCCAGAATTCCTTATCCCTTTTTAGGCATTCTCTCTCCCTACTTCCAGCCTCTTGCAATCACTAATTTGATCTGTTTCTTGTCTCTGTAGTTTTGCCTTTTCCAGTGTTATAGAAATCTGTGTGTATCTGTATGTACATACATATGCATCCTTTTGAGTCTGACATTTTTCATTTTGTGATGTATTTGAGATTCATCCACATGGTTGTATGAAACACAGATGAAAATAAGCTGATGAAAAGCTGCTCAACATCATTAGTCAGGAAAATGCAAATTAAGACCTTGATGAGATACTACACACACACTTAGAATGGCTTAAAGTATTTTTTTTTTTTAATAGTACCAAAAGTTGTTAAGGATGCGGAGCAATGGACACTTTTGAATTACTGTTGGGAAGATAAAGTGATATATCTACTCTGGACAACAATTTTGCAGGTTCTTATAAAATTAACCATATACCATGTACTATGACCCAACAATCCCACTCCTCCATATTTAACCTAGAGAAGTGAAAAATTATGTATGGACTCAAATGTTGACAGAAACTATATTCACTTGCCAAATGATTGGAAATAAACCAAATGTAGTGGATGAATAATTCAATAAATTATGGGATGTCTATAATTTATTGAATTATACACATAAAAAGGAATGATTTATTGACACAAGCTACAATATGGATGAATCTCAAAAAAGTATTATGTTTTACCATGTGATAATTTATATTTGATAAAAGATTATTAGATATTAGATTCTAAATATAAATAGGTTTGTATAATTTTATATGTGTTAATTACTACATATTATAGTAATGTATATTTACAATATATAGCACATTATATTTATTATATATTAAAATGTTTATTTATGTAATGTATATGTATGATTATTGAATTATGTAACTTTTATATCAGACTTTCACACAATACTTCAGTTATATTTTTACATGTTTACATTCAATGTTTATAGTGTAAAGTTATAACTATAATAAAAAGGGGTATATGGTCTGGAGAGCCTGCAGTTGTAGCTGGTCAGCATTTTTATTATTTGTCAACAGCTCACCTTTGTCTGTTCTTGACATCAAGGAAGCTTGTTCCACTTTGGGCCTTTGCTCAGCTGTGTTCTCTGAAAGTACTCTGCTTCCCCAATGCCTATGCTGCAGCTTGCTGTCCTTTCTATTCTTTAGAGAATCGCCCTGCCACCACCATCTCCACCATTATACATGGAGTAACACACTTCTTGGGGTCACTTCCTATTTTGTACTATCTTTGTGTTGCAAGTACCACTATCTGACCTGATATTAAATGTTTCTGGTTTTGGTTTATCATTCCCCCCTCCCCACTGGACTGTCAACCTCATGATGCCCAGACTTTGTCATCTTCCTACTGTGTTCAGGGCACCCAGCACAGCACTAGCACAAAGTAGACACTCAGTTTAAGTTTAAGTGGAAGAATGAGTGCTAGTAATAGCATCAAAGTTGACCAAGTGCCCCACACTGAGTGAGCTAAACTCTGGGGGCAGGGGATGAGGGAGGGAGGGTTACAGTCCTCTGATTCAAGATTTAATGCCCCTCCCCACACTTGAGCACACCTAAGCCCTAACCTTTTCTCACTCAACCACCCCATCCTTCCTATCCCCAGTGTATCTGACCTGCATC